CTGATCGTTCCCGCGGCTGCCGGGAACGCCGCTTTTGCGCTGCCCAACCCTGCGCTGGCGGTGATCGCTCCCGCGGCCGGTGGTAATCCCCTCCCCGCTTTGATCGCCCCCACGCCTGCCGGGAATGGCGGCCCCACACTCCCGCCACAGCGTCTTGCCGTCCTGCGACTGCGGGCGAGCGCTTGAGGAATCGCGGCCGGGATGGATGCGAACGCGGGTGCGCGGGGTGACAACGGGGGAGATGATGCTTACTTGGTATCGTGGCGTCCTCGCGCGCAGGCTCTGCGCGCTGTGCGGCTTGGCGTTTCTTGCCTCCCTCCCGTGGCGTCGTGTCTGTTGGCTGTTGCCTCTCGACTGTTGCCTCGCCTGCACGCGCGATCTCCTGCCCGCACACACAGCCAAGTCAGCGTCTCCGCCTCCGCCTTTGAGAAGTCAGCGCGAGGGAGCGCGTCCCGTCAACGCGCTCAAGGCCGACGAGCTTCCGCGTCAGGTGATGCCACGGGCGTGGGGCGCGGCGCGCCACTGATGGCGCGTTGAGGCCATCCCCTCAGGCCAATGCCCCGCGTCCAACTCGAAGAACACTGCGAGCAGCGCGAAACGCGCCTGTCGCGAAACGTAGGTCCCTAGCCCGTCGCGCGTGGGGGCCGCGCACGCGGGCGATAGGCTGCGGCGCGACCAGCAGGGCCCATTTGCTTTTTTGAATCCGTGGGTGGGGCGCAGTAGTCTGCGCAGTAGTGATCACTATCCTCATGAGGAGCACTGCGGTACGGATATAATAGCTATATCCGCGGGCTAACATGACATCACACTGTTGTGTACACAGTGGAAAGATCGAATTTTATTTGCAACTTCCGTGCGTCCCAATATTCGATGTTGATCGCTCATGCGGTGTGCAGCGACGGCCAGCAATTGCGAGCAGTTTCGGTCACCGTGGTAAATTTACCACGTACAGTGTAAATTTACCACCGTGGTAAATTTACACTCTTTCAAAAGAGTAGCAGATCCACCACAGGAGTACAACAGTGCTGGTTGCGACTTGCGCACACGCCGATGTCTGCCCCACCTGGCACTGCTTTCCTCAGGGTATTGCATATCGCGCATCCCATAGTATCGCACATCATACGATGATGCAGCCGCACTGCACCCCGTGCATGTCGAAATTCTCAGGTCTCTGGCGGCGCGTGACGGCCGGAGCCTCAAACAGTCCAGCGGCGACAACATCAACTGTTTAAATTTAAGCAAAGGAATGCAGTTCAAATTGCCTTCGAAGGACAGCGCGGTGCCTTTGCACCTCCTAGGCGATGGCAGCATCTCGAAATCGGGACGGAGTTGCATCAACTTCGAAGGGCCTTGCTGCAACTAGCTTATTGATGCGCTTCCTTTCAATGCGTCATGCCTTGCGCAAGGCCTCTCAATGCTGCCGTAACACCATTCAGATTCGGATGAGACGTGCGTGCATCCGCGTCCATCTGTACTTCGTGCGCTTAAATCATCCCGCGCAGACAGCTTGCGCGTCTCAGATTGGCGCAGGTCAAACGCCCATCGCCGGTGTCGACCCACGGGAGTCAGCAGTGGTCAGTCGGTCAACGCCATTACTCAAGGAAGGGCCGGCATGCCGGAATGCATGCTATGTGCCGGCACAGTCAAGAATCGACCTGTTTTGCCCGCAGCCAGCGGCGCACCAAACTGGCGAGACCAGGGGGAGTCGCACAGATCTTCACGCCCATGGATCCGTGCGTGGATCCATATGGAGCTACAGATACATAGCTGACAGGGGGCCACACATTTATGTAGACACTGGTCGAAAACGCCATGTCTGCGATGCAAACTGCGATGCTATTTTGACACAAAATGATGCCGTCACCGTGATTGCGATGGCATAAAAGTGGATGTGATGGCATCAATTTGGTTGTCAAATGGCGTCGCAACTGGCATCGCAAACAGGCTGTTTTCTACTGGTGAGAGGTATATAACCGACTGGCGTCGACATCTGGATCAGGCTTGGTTTTTACGCCGTAAAAACTGATCTTATTTACGTTTTTACGCGTAAAAATAGTTTTTACGTTTTTACGCGTAAAAATGCGTAAAAATACGTAAATACAACGTAAAAACTGCTTGGTGTACATAAGGACAGTACATGCAGATTTGCAGAGTCCGGAGAGTGGCAACCAGACGCTTTGGAAGAGGCAGAAGACGAGTTTTTGTTGAACGTCATTATCGCCCTTGCCAAGGGCGAGGTGGACGTTGTGTTGAGGGTGTTGCAGATGGTGGAGGACTGATCATTATAGGCAACTTTTGTCGTATAAACTGCGTGTGCCAGGGAGCCGTAAAAACGTAAAAACAGCCGTAAAAATAGGCCCTTTTGCAAATTTACGTTTTTACGCGTAAAAACGTAAAAGTAAAAACGTAAACGTTAACGTCAAAACCAAGCCTGATCTGGATTGCCGTTCTCCCCTGATCTCCGCCTCTTAGCCGTTGCCTCGCCTCGCCTTGACGTCCCCCGTCCTCGATTCCCTTGACGATTTTCGCTGGCAGATGCAGGCAAAGTTGGCAAACTTCCTTCCCTCGCTGGCCAGCGGGTCCATATGGACCGTCCGGGACGAAAATTGATGAATCAGCCCCGTCCGGAAAGCAACCGTCGCGCACGGCAACATTGCCTCGACGCCATACATATTTGGTGTCCAGGTCTGTGACCTGAGGTCCGTCCAACACCGACCCGGCGAGTGGCAGGCACAGTCGTGCGGGGCAGGAGCAATCGGCGAGAAAAAAGCCCCGGGCCCCTCCTTTTGCCGATCTTCGGGGACGCCCCATTGAGGGCCCTCAATGGTTGCAATCTTATATAAACATTATATCGTTATCATAACGACGTTATGTGCTCGCCGTGGTTGCCGTCGGGTTTATATGGGCGGCGCTTCCGCCACTGCACCAGCAGAAAGGGCGTTATTGCGATAATATAAATTGCAATACCATACCAGGTACTTTTGGGCCGTCGAAAGCGCTGCTGCCTTGTCACTTATTGTCAAAATGGCATGGCAGCTGTTATCACAAGCGTGGTGTTTTCTGCCTGTGACAAACAGGAATGCCGTGGTGCTCCGGTGGGCGGCAGGGAAGGGGGGCAGCCGACGCGCTGTGGTGTTGGCGGGGATATCAGCGGGTGACACCTCAAAGGGGCAACGTTTCGCAACGGCATACGTTAAATCCGACCCGACCTTTGCTATTAACATTGGCGGCGCCCGCATAATGGCCCGATACGGTGGGCACGTGTACGGTGGCCTGCCAGGCCCACGCGCAAACGCCTAAGTCGCTGGTGCCCAACGTCCAGTGCCACCTGGGGGAGCTCCCCGTGGGGCAGAAACCGCCGTCGCGCGCCCCGGCCCAGAAACGAGTCCCCAGAGGCCTCCGCCGACATGCTGCGTTGCGCAAGATCGCCGCAAGCTGGCCGCCGACAAGGCCACGGACGGACAAACTGGCGCGAAGGGCATGCGCAGAGGCCGGGCAGCCGTGGCATCGAACACGCCACTCCCCCGGGATGGCACTCCACCCCACCCGCTGATCAGTAGCCCCACAGGCGGTGGTTCACAGCCTTTGGGACTGAAGATCGACGGGTGGGGTGGGGGTTGGATTGGAGGGGTGAACAGGCCGCGGATGGACTACCGACAAGGTGCCGGCTGGACAACTAGCAAAGGGTCATGCCCTGGGGCCGGGCAGCTGCGCCATAAACACGCCACTTCCCCCCCGTTTTGGGGTCGAAGATCGCTTGGGGAGGGGCTGGGGGTTGGATCGGCATTCGCCACCGAATGGCCGGAAGGGTCGGCGACTCAATACAAACGACTATAGGTGTGACACAGGCAGCACGCCCTGCCCTGCACCCGCCTACGCACTGCCCCACACGGCTTGCTCGCCCGGGGCTCGCCCACCCCACTCCTCCGTCCCTTCCCCTCCCCATCCGGGCTCGCCCCACTGCATCCCCTATCCCTCGCTCCCCCTCCCCCAACGCCCAATTTTTTCCCCAGCCCTTCGGTTTGCCGCACTGCCCACCAGGGGCCTTAAATTGAACACTGGCGCCGCCCCCCGGGGCACGTTTTGCCCCTCCCCCGGCTGGTGGTACGCGATCCCGCGTGCTCCATGTGGTGAGCGAAACGGCGTTTGCGGGACAGGGCCGGCATCACTGCCGAGCAGTGCGGTGCTCTTCGGCGTGTCGAGCGAGCAATGCCAGGGCAATTCGCAAAAGTGCGGGGGATGGGTGTGACTTGGGGGGAAGGGAAGGGGGGGCAAACGCTAGTGTGTTGTGAAGGGATCCCTGGAGGGGTGGAGGTCGCCATGCGCATGGGTCGATCGACGTACGAGGAAGCCGTTGCCGGGTCGCCGGGAGCGCCGGCGCGGCTCCTAGTGATCGAGCTTGCCCGGCTGTGAAGGCCCGGTGCCCGCCTTTCGCGCATGGGCTTTATGGTAGATTGCTCGCGTCCGCCATTGGGTCCTTGGGGGGCCTCGGCGCCGTTGGTTGTTCCTTGCCGCGGCCGTCGGAGACCAATGGGGCGTTCTGTGCGAGTGATGCCCGGGCCGGCCCCACGTCCCCCAGTTTGCCACTCGACGTTGGGCGCCCAACGACTTCAAAAGTTTGCGCGTGGGCCTGGCAGGTGACCGTACACGCGCCCATCGTATCGGGCCATTATGCGGGCGCTGCCAATGTTAATAGCAAAGGTCGGGTCGGATTTAACGTATGCCTTTCGCAACGCGTGCGACCTGAAGCATCGCCACGTCCTGCCGGAGGGCTGTGTGGCGACTGACGCGTTGGCTTCGGACAAAGGCAGTACAAAACACATGCAGCACACATCAACAACCACATGCAATGGTTTTTGATGTGTGTACCATGCCCAAATGTGTAACGCTGTACCCGCACAACCCCAGCCGACCCAACGGGCCAACTTTCACTTACCGTCACCAAAATTTCCAGTGATCCCCTCTGACCGACGCGTCCATTATACTCATTCCCTGCCAAGCATTCCAAACCCTCCTGGCTCCTGACCTTTTGCGCCGCCGCCCCTCTCAGCACGTGCAGGAGGTGCGAAGCCGGTGCCCCGCCCCTGGACCCTCGGACTATTTGGGCCGAAGCTGGCGCACCACAGTCGCCACAACACCAGCCTCGCACCAGGCCAACCCCACAGGACCACAGCAACGATCGACGCCGATCAACGGCCCTCCCCTCGAGAGGCAGCCACCCCGCCATCGCTTCTGGCGCCAAAGAGCCTTCGCGGGCCCCAAGGAGGTCAAAGGCCAGCAACTTCCGGGCAAAGATTCCCAAGAGAATGACGACTCGCAGATTTCTGTGTTTGGCGCTGGTCCTTCTGGCGCTGGCTTTTGCCTTCGGGGGGGAGGACGGGGATGCTGACGCGCGCCCCAAGGCGTGCTACTGGAAGGCGCCGGAGGAGGGCGTGGAGGGGGCCCAGGGGGCTCAAGGTGGGTGGCGTTTCGGGCGCGTGACGCGGAATGGGCGGCGCGGATCGCGTGACGCTGATCGGATTGGGTGACGCGGATCGGGGCAGCCAGGAGGGGATGGAGCGGGGTGGCGTGGGGTGCGGGGCTGTGCGCATTGCCATGGACGTGTTTCTGTTGTATTGTGCCGGTTGGAGCTGCCGCGGATTGTGGGAAGGCGGGCGTGGATGGTGAGCGGGCGCCCGGGGTCGGTGTTTGAAGGCGGGCGTGGATGGTCACCGGGCACCCGGGGTCTGTTTTTGAAACCGTCGATTGGAGCCGGTGATTGGGCCAGAATGGACTTGGGTGCTTTGACGCAGGGAGGCAGGGGGTGATGTGGGGCTCCCTCCGCCACAGTACCTCCCCCCTTTGCGTGTGTGCTTCGAATCACTTGGCGAGGGAAATGCGCGTTGCTGGAGCCGCGGGCTGTTCGGGTTGCCTGAAGACCCCAGCATTTACTCGAAACAGACCCGTTGTTGCCAGGGGCTTGACTGCGTCATCCATGCGCAGCCTTCCTGCAGAAAACGCGCGCGTTCGCGATTTGGGTGTTAGGAGCCTCGGGGCGCGAAGCAACCGCGCCTACTGGAGTTGCGCTGAGGCTGGCCGCGACGGTGGATGCCTCTTCCTTGCTTTTGTCAGCCCGCGCAATGACGAGCGCAGTGGTGCTTCAGGCATCGATTCATAACTGCCTGCAACCCCAATTCGAAATTGGTTTTCCCATTTTGTCCCAGCTCAGCAGCTGCACATCATCTGCTGCCAGATACCCAGAGCATCCAACCAGTGTTGCAGTCGTGCTGTTGTGCTTGAACCATACACTGCACGCACTACATTTGTCAAAGGGACATGACAAATCACTGCCTTGGAGACTGTTGTGGGCTTAAGTTCATGCACACTGTTGGTTCTCAGCACAACGTCTGTGCAAATGAACCTTGGAAGTTGAAAATCCTGGGCCCGCAGACATGAGGTTGTGCACAAGCCCACAGGTGTCCTTTTATTGTGACATTCATTTTCTGGGACGCTCATCATAAACATCCAATTGTGAATCCAGGGTAGATTCATGCCAGGCATAGAGATTCATTTGCCTGTCAGGCTGAAGTGACTTTGCTTGCACTGCACTGAAAACTTTTTTTTCTGGTGCAGGTGCCCACTTAGCAATCCAATTCACGGCAAGTGCAAGAATGCGCAAACATTGACATTGACCACGCTTGTGCAGCGGCAGCTCAAACAGCTGCAACACTTTCTGCATTTCCAGTAGGAATGTCCACGGTGGCCAGTGACAGATATGTTTATCCGAGTCATGTCCAAGTCATGTTGTGCGATGAGCCTTTTTTCCTAATGTGAACATGCTTCGAAAATCTCAAAGAGTGATAGAAAGAACACACTGGCAGGGCACTGCAATGAACAGGAGGAAATGCAGTCAGGAGTATCTGTACAAACAAGAGCCATCAAACTGACAAGAGACAGATCGCCTGGATTTGATCACCTGCGCAATGGGTTTTTTCTCAGTGTTGATGACAAGAGCAAATCTTGTAGGGCTTTTGACCATGCATAGGTTCCTTGCCGTTTTAGATTAGTTCATTCACTTGTTGGCCATTTTGAACCTTTTTCGGTGCCATTTGCATTATATAGCCAAGGTTCTGCTTCCACACCACCTATCAAAACATGGTATGCTCCTGCCTCTGCACCTTAGGATGCCCACCCTTCCAGACAGTGTCCCTGTGCATGTTGTGCTCCACCATCTGAAGGACGTCACCCTGATGCTGTGCTTTAGTACATGCCAAAAGACGATGGCTTCTGGGTGCACAGATCACCAAAGAGCAATGCCGTCACAACTTCATCTTTGTGGCAAACGTGCTTGATCCGCTGGTCTACCTGCACCAGTGCACTGGGGTGCTGGTAGACAAGGGACTTGTTGCTGTGCCGGCATCCTGCGTCCATGGCAAGACCCAGAAGGACATCCCCCTTGTCAGGACGAACAGCTATGACGTGAACGATCCTGATGAGCTGCGGCCAGATTTTGATCCTGAAAAATCAGGGTTTAGCCATCCTGAAGGTACCTCTCCGAAGATCGAAAAGCTGAATTCAGACAGGAGTGATCCGGTGAGCGAGTCTGCCTTCCACTTGGCCCATTGCCACAATCGAGATCGTGAGGTTGAGATTCATTCTGGCGCATTGCATGTGGTTGGAATGCGATTCTTGGGCATGCCTTGTGTCAGTAGTGTAAGCCCTCTGGTTCAGCTTTGTGGGTTGGGGTACCCTCAGTGTGATAGAACTTGCGACCTGAAGGACAGACTGTGATTTCAGCACCACTCCGTGAATGCCTTGCTGAAGCACAAGCGCAATTCGAAGTATGCGCACCAACTGCAGTTGTGTGCCACTGTTTGATGCCTTGCCGGTCGCTGAGAAATGGTTGGCAGAACGTTGGCAACTGCTGGCCAAGCTTCCCTTTCATGCATGCCTTTGTGCAGGCCAACAGTTATGGATCGCAGGTACTATTTAACAGCGGGTGGCAGTCATTGCTCAGTGCAGCCCTTTGTCCCTTTTCAAGTGTGTTCAAAATGTCACCAGGTGATATGCCAGGGACCTCAAGAGATGTCTGGCTGGCTTCCCTTCTGAGCAAATTCACAATGTACAGTTGTGCGACAGCCATGACATCTCCACCAGTGAAGCGTGACTGGTGGAGGATGTGATCGGGAGGAAATTCCAGGGACTTTGCTGGACTTCGCACGATTGACACAAGCTCACCGAACCCTGTCGCTGCAGCACTGATGCCATTGACTCTGATCTGCAGGTGGCGAGGGTGTGCAAGGTCATTGTGCACGACAAGTTCAATGGTGATGTGGGCAACGGAAACAATATCGCACTGCTGCAGCTCAACTCCACCGAGCTGCCAGCAGCACAGGCGATTAGTGAGTGGACGTCTGCGGACAAGTGCCCACAAGAAGATCTGAGTGCCATTGGGTGGTTTGCCAGCATGTCTATGGGGGTTGTGGGGCCAAAGCTAGGGGCCATCGTAAACATGACATACGTGAACGACACAGAGTGCGGACGGGTCCTCGGCAAGATTCCTGAGGGGGCGATATGTGTGGAGCCTGACATCACTGCGCAATACATGTGTGAGTGGTTGTTGTCCATATTTCTTTATGTGTGCACTTTCTGCTTCCAGCTTGTTGCAGTATGTGTTTGTGACCAGGCACTGCCCTGTCCTGGCATGGAATTGGTGCCTTGCACCACCTTGACACGGTGCAAGACGATGTGAAGCCCCAAAGACACCTAGTTTTCCCCACAGTGTAGCATAACAGTGCTATTGCATTCCATCACTGCTGATCGACTTGCAAACGTGCCTGGGCCGTCACTCCTAGAAAGTGCTGTGACTCTGGCCTGTGATAGCAGGTTTTCTGAAAGTTCCATGCGGCCACAGACCCATCCCTGTGCATGTTACCATTTGATATACCATCAATTGTTTGCTTGGTGCGGCTTGTCTTTATTGCTGGGGTACCACGCTCACCAAACTTTTCTTTGAAATCTGTTGCACAGTTGTGGAGGTCACGATCCAACAATGGTTTCAAACCGCTGCATTGCTCAACTCTGACCTATCTTGGAATTATGCCTCTTATGGCAAATTTTCCACAAACATTCTACCCTCTCCTTGTGACAGCCCACAAGGTCACCCTCAAGAGCCCTTTATTATGTGACTAGTAATTTCAGCTCTTGTGGTTCTGCACTCATTGAAAGCTCAACAAATGCTTCATTAAGCGCTCCTCGATGCTGTTGTCCAAGCCTCAGCACTTGCTCAGCGTATGGGCACTGCTCAAGCACAAGTGTCCAATACCCGCCATTTCCAGACGTGCAGGGCGTGAAGGTCATTTCGGGTTTAGGATTTATTTTAGGCTCTTACGTTTCAAGGGCCCTCGTACCCTTCCTGACCTTCATGACTCCTTTATCACCTTCATATCCGGAAATGAGACTAGGCATCAGATAAATCGCTTCTCCAAGGGACTGCGCTTAATTTTCTTGGACCTACTGTTTAAATGTCTGGTGCCACACTGCAAAGTCCACATTTCAAACGTGGTTTGCACTCCAGGTAGACGATTTTGCAGTTTACTGGTGTTCAGGTATGTACTGCAGCACTATGAAATAGGCAATTTGTTGTCTGTGAGCCGGGTGGAAGGTACATTCACCCCCGTATCAACACCAACAAACACCTCGCTGCACAATTTTCATCATTTCATCACTTGTAGATCATGCACAGGTGATTTCTGCTTCCTAGGGAGTATCTCACTGTGAGCTGGGCGTCGGCATCTGGCACTTTTGCTCCAAGCCGTCTTGGCTATTGGTTGTGAGGTGTCAATTTGTGTAGCTCAGCATTGACTGTCCATATGAAGGGGGGCGTTTGGCCAAGCACCACCATGTCGCTCAATTCTTTGCTCCAATTTTTACTTCGCTTCGCGCTCTTGCGGAAGCTGCTTACCACCAATCCTGCGATTGCAAGGTCGACTAGATCGCCGTTATACAATCAATGCATGTCATTGCAAGACAATTGTCTTGTGTCGCATTCATGTCGATAGCTTTTGCAATAATTGAAGAGGAAGAAGACCGGTTGTGTTTTAAGTGCGGTCACAAGATGTGCCTCCGTCCTACTGCAGGTCACACCATTTCCAGCGCCCGGGCGGCACAGCTTGCACACGCACGGAAACTGTGCATATACGTACACACACGCACATGCACGCATACAGTGCAAGGACATAAGGAAATGCAAACAGAGAATGGTCTCTTCCGCCTGTGGCAGGGGATTTGGGGGCGCTGCTCCTTTGCAACGACAAGAAGCTCTTGGGCTTTGCCACGCACACCATTGCCACGCACAACATTCCCCGGCAGGTCCGCGCACCCTACGCCTTCACCCACGTGTCCCACTACCGGGACTGGATCGCCAGCAGGGGCAAGGACGCCAGCAAGGTCTTGCTGAACCCCCACGAGGACTGCAAAGAAGCACTGACTCCGGAGGAGTGGACGAGCGTGGAGCAGTCCAAGACGACCGACGAAGGGGGGGCCTCAGGGAGGTGTGAGCAGAACGACGAGGGCGATGCCGACGGGCGGTGCGACAAGGCGGACGAGGAGAAGACGCCGGAGCGCTGCGAATCGTGACGGGGACGATGCGGTGGGGACTTGCGAGGGGAGGGATTGTGGCTGCTTTTTTTTTGGGGGGGAGGGGGGGGGGGGGGTCCAAGCTGTTACATAACGTTTCAGCGTCCGACTGCCTCCCCCGTCCTATCACAGGGTACGTGGGCCTTGTGCCACGGAGCAAAGGCCTCCAAGCGCAGCGTGCTTGTTTCGTTTGTTCGAAACTGCCTTCCAGAGACAGGGCAGCGTGCTGGCACCCCGCAGGCGATGGCGGGCGCATGCGCGTTTGAGAGAATTTGAAACGCGGGCTGCGAGCTGACGCCTGTCGGGAGGCCCTTTGGGCGAATTCGGCGTCGTTTGGTCGACGTTGGGCGTTGCGCCGAGTGTTGCATCGATCGTCGATAAATCGACATCGACATGTGTCGACAAATTGTCGAAGAGAATGGACATGCGAAGTGGCACGCTGGGAGGTTGCGAGCGCATGTGGAGCCGTGGGATGCCAGTCGCTCTTGGGGAGGGTGGAGGGGGCAGCGCGTGGGCCTTCTTTAAACGACAGAACGGGAAAGTTCGTTCCGAAAAGTGGAAACTGAATTGGCTTGTGTGTGGCAAATTTTTTTCTGTGCAGCCTCGCGGAGCGCATCTCACGTTGACGTCCACAAAATTGTCGACATGTGAAGATGAATGCGACTGGGCGACGGCTGGTGACTCTGTGGGGACGGTTGTGAAGGCGTTGCGGCGGAGGAAGGCGTTTCTATTCCTAGCTGGCAGCTTCCCTCGCAAGGCACTTGCGGCAACGCGGCTGCGATGGTGACATTGTGCAGGGCCCAGGGCGGCTGACGAGACTCAAGGGCGATCGGGCATAAGCGGCGCATGCGCAGTCGTGCAATTGACACATGACATCGTTGCAAACGTGTCTTTCTCAGTGGCCTGCATTTGCAGACATGTAATTCGTTTTGGGCTGCCTGGATTGTCGGCGCTCTCCTGGGTGCACCAAGCCCCAGACGAATTCCTTGGATTGATTTGCTATGACGAGATCGAGTCTTTGCCCCTTGCGGGCGCAGATGGGCGCAGAAATGTCCACACAGCGTTTGCTGCACCATGTGGGTCACAGCAACGAGTTGGCTCACCTGAAGAAGAGCGACAGACAACCCAAACAATTCCAAACCTGACGGGGCAGTTTATGCAAGTGAAGTACAAACAGGAAGAAAAAGGGTTTTGCCCCATTGGAGATCCACGGCGTGGCAATCCGGCATTCCGTTGCCACTTAGCTTTTGTCAACAAGCAGGCTTGGTCCCCAAGGCCCAATGGCACCAGCTTTGAAGTCGACCAAAGCACCTGAAACTGCGACCAGATGTTTGCCTTTTGAAAACAGCGACTTTCCCAAACAGATTATCTGACTTAGATTGTTGGTCGCCCTAAACAAACACGGGTTCCAAACTCCTGTGCAGCAAAACAGAATCGACATGCCACTATGGGCAACGACCAGCACACTCACACGAACGCATGGCTTAGAAAGCTGCAGCCCAATTTCTTATCAGATGAATTCAGCAAGTTGACAATTAAGAGAAATCGCTGTGGGATTGCATGATTGATTGATAGCTTAACGTTCGTTAGCCAGTCGACAGTACTATCGACACAAATAAGGGGCGTTTGTTGGCTTGCTTACATTAACACATTCACGCCATTCAATACTTCTCCCAGGTGCTCTGAACGTGGGGACAAGGCCAAGTCGAACAAGACACAAAATGGACAATCACCATCTGCACATCCTTCACAAGTCCATAAGAAGGTTCAGTCCATATGAATGCTTTCCCCCTACTGTTATGTCTATCTACGCTTAACACTGTCCCCTTGTCTTTCGAAGACAGTTTTGAACAAAGGATGTCCACTACCTAGACATGCCTGTACTACTTCGCGCTTAGCTTAGGACCGTCGCGAAAGGTAGAGGAAGGAAATGCATGCTGTCCCCTCGTACTTTGCAGCAGAATTGTAACAAGATATTTCCCAAGTCATATCTTGGCCGCCAGTGATTTTGCTGTCAGCGGCGACCGGCCAGCAGAGGCGCAGGGCGCAGCCGCTTCCGCTGCTTGCCGCGCTGCGCGGGATCCGGCGGTCAAGGCGCCCGACGGCCATCAGCGATTGGCATCCGCGGGCTGGATTCGAGATTCGGGATTCCGGATTCCGGCATCGGCAGCCGCAATGGCCATGCTGGCGTCGGTGGTGCACGTGGCTGTGGGATGCAACCGCGTGGCGGGAGTACTGGACTGGGGCCGCTGCGGCGTTGCCGCCTTTGGGGCCCACCATTTTGTGGCCATCTATGACCCCAAGGTGGGTACAACCCATCAATCTGGCCAGCATTATACCACTCTTTGAAGGTTGTGAAGCTCTTAACTTGGCATTCTCACGTGTGGATTCTAAATGGCTGTGAAGGCCAAGAAAGGCACCCTCTTTTTGCTGCATGTCAAGTCCCATTTTCCGGCTGAACAAACAAAATTGAGCCCACAGCTTGGACTGCCATACCAAGGTGGACTTCCTGCGTTTGTTGCGAGCTCTTTCGTGAAAGCAGCAGCCGACTTCGTGGTGCTGTCACTTGGGGTCAGCATCTCCGGCACACAAATTGCTGTGCCAACAGTGCAGTTTGCGGCTTTCAGGAAAGAACTTGTGGCACCATTTGCACACCCTCACTATTGCTAAATGGCTACGTTTAAATTTACGTATGAAAGGCAGAATGGGCCCCCTTTTGACAACACTCTGCCCCTGCTGTGGCCGCGTCCCGGTCTCAAGCAATGATCTGGCCTGACTACTGCTCGATCGCTGCCATTGCTTTTCTGCAACCTCTGTTTGCTAGAGTTGACGAAACTAATGTGTGCAGCACTGATCTGTGTGAATGCATGTCAAACTGAAGTACAGGTCTTACAATGCAATGCATGAAATGGCAAGGTCATACATTGATGCAAATCCTTTCGACAGTGGCACTCATCTTGGGCCTCTGTGCGCTCCATTGACAGGGCATCCTTTGTTTATTCCAGCATTCAGGGCACCGCAACAGTTCCAGTTTCATTGAGCAAGCCAGAGTGCTTCCTTAACTAAATTCCAAGACATTCAAATTACATTTGTGTTGCTGGGAGTGCCGCTACCTGTGTTGTGTTGTTCTTCTATGATTGGAGATGCCACAACATCTGTCACAAATGGAAGGGTTCCCCCTTGCCTTTTCTTAATAGGGATGCGACCCATGTATAGGGTTTGTTCTTTGAGAACGAATCCCTCTTTCTGAATTGAGTGCTTCCTGTAGATTCACCGAGGATCGTCCCTGTTCCTGCCCCAGAGTGCAAATCATCAAATTTCTGGTAACTGCTTCATTTGACTTTGGTGTGATGGGCTATGGAATAACTGATACAACGCGAGAAACACAGCATTTGCGCAAGGTATATATGGGCAGGGCAGGAAGATATGAATGTAATGATTAGGATGTAATGAATGTATAATGATTAAGATGCAACGATTGTAATGATTAGGATCTGCCAGAATGAGCTGCAAAGCCACTGTCTGGTGCTGTGCATGAAATACTATGCAGTGTGCGAAAATGATCTGTGGGGAAACTCAACTGCAAATATTGAGCTGGATCAAATGTTTGGATTGGTAATGCGAATCATGGACTTTGCAGTTGGTTGCATTGGTCAGGCTTAAAGAAAAACTGCACTAATAAATAAGTAAATAAATTCAAATACAAGAACTACTGAGGTAAAGTGTAACAAAAACTGAGAAGTGTAAAATGTTCAGCTCTTTCTGTTGAGCAGAATCCAGCAGTTCTAGCACAGCGTACAGTTCCTTGTGAACAGCCTCTTTTCCTCTGACTTGCACCATCAGTGGATGTTGCAGCATTGAACAACTGAGTGAGCTGATTCACAACACCAACAATATGTTACGACAGGGGTGGCACCTGTATGCTGAAAGTGATGTAATATTTTGGAGTTGGTATTCTTTGTTATGTATAGTTACATATTCAAAATTAGCCACAGCACTGGGCTCCAGGAGGCCCTTTGCATGCTCAGGCACTTGTTGCAAATCATGTTTATGCTTAGAGTAGCAGCGTGTGCAAGTATGCGTGTTGTTCATGTCCAGGTGGCCCGCATCATAGGCACCCTGCATGGGCATGAGGGCCAGGTGAATTGTATAAAATGGGTGTGTGACCAAGGTGCGAGCATGAGCAAAGTTGGTTGCAAGCATCGAACGCCTGCCAGGCCATTTCAGGCATTGTTCACAGCCAACGCTGTTTGAAAGATCTTTCTCTGTTTCCAGTGAGCCTGATGTCCATGTGGAGGAGTGGCAGCGACTTCCTCATGGCTTCCACCTTACTTGTCCCTGTGAGCTCACATAGTGCCCCGCTGCATGTGTACATTGGGCTGAGGCATGGCATGCTTGATATGGGAGATCAGAGTGGTGTGTGCTGTCTGGCCAAGCTTGAACACAAGCCTCCAGCCCCCTTTCCTGTTGGGAGATGTCAAAGTATGTAGTGGACAGCTGATTGCATGTAACTGGTTAGACACCAGTTCAGCAGATGTGGGAGCATTCTGTACTGAGATGCTTCTAAAAATTAGATAATCCTACTTCAGAAGTACTTCTATAAGTACGTAGCAATAAATAATGAAAATACTGATACTACAGATACTAATTATTGAAATGTGGCTGAATCGTGTATGCCAGATAGTGTGTGGCCTAAAAGTTCAGCAAGCAGGGCTCTCAAGTGGCTCCAGTGGGAGGCATCAATGTGTGCTGCATCTGGTTCTGTCCCTTAGGTGGGGGCTGTGTGGCATTCCTCCTCACTGGATCTGCCGACAGGACGATACGGGTGTGGCGCTGGCCATCAACCCAGGATGGCCAGCTAGAGGTGGCAAAGCTGGAGGTGTGTTGTTTTTCCTTCTGTTCATCAGATTACCTAGCGGCATATTATAGGGTGCTGTCCAGTCTTAACAATGCTGTAAATACATCCATGGACTGGAAGCACAACCGCCCAGTTGTGGATGGATGCGTGGTGTTGACAGGTGGGGTTTGTGGCGGTGGGGTTTGGGCCAGCATTGCAGCCTGCTTCCTTGGATGCACACCCCTATGACGTGCAAGGGTTTGACTGTCAGGAACAGTTGGCTGTTTTTCAAGCACACTAGTTCGCTGCTGCAAATGGTGAAGAAGAAGCACTGTATTGGAGGAGACATACCAAGGTGCACTTGCACAGGCTGCAGGTTTCGCGGCTTGCACAGATTTGCCAGGTGCGAATACTGAAACTGTGGGCTGTTTTCCACCACCTGTGTGCTGACCAGGTGGGGCAGCGGCTTGGGTGCAGGACACTGGAAGACACAGCCCAGTGTCTCCAAGCTTTGCCTGCGATTTGGGCTGCAGACGGGCCTTGACAACACAAGTCCTGAGCCAGGTTTTCACGTACGTGTTGCAGGGGCACAGTGCAGGGGTCACAGCGCTGGCCCATCTTCGTGAGGCTTGCAACGACCGATTGACCGTTGTCAGCACCGCTGGCGATGACGAAGTCTTTGTGTGGGAGGCGATTGCGTCCCAGCTTGGCGATGGGCAGGAAGCATGGAGCTTGAAGCAGAGGCTGTCGGCTGGCCTGCAGCACTGTGCTGCTCTGACGACCCTTCAGGCGGATCCAGACTGGTGAGCCCCCTTCGGCAGCAATGTCCATGTGGCGATCGTGCCCGATTGTCCATTCGTCTGTCTTTGTTTTATTCAATGTTGAAAGTGATCGGAAGCTGGCTTGTCTGGGATGGCATGGGACTCACCCTCGGGGCATTGTCTGCACAAAACCAAAATACTGGGTAAGCAGTGCTGAGTTTTAAGCAGTGAGAATTAGGCAGGATCGGATCAAGAATGACAAGGTGCATTGCGAGTTGCATTCCACTCCTGTTGCACACTGAGATTTCTGCATCGTGTTGAGCATGGACAACAATACAACATAGAGGTTTTCTGAAGAGGAGAGCACACAACTTGTGGCATCTTTTCTTGTGTTGCAGTAAATTCTTTGGGGTTGCAAGCTGCCCTGTGCTCGTTTTGCCAAGACTGACATCAACTGTTCTGTTCACTGATGTATGTGTGACGTGCTGCCAATGTGTGTTGTCATGATGTGCCATGCCACCTCTTTAGTGTTTGATGGAAGTCAGGACTGCAGCATAAAACTTTCCTGTTTGTGGTGCACTCCAAACAACAAGACCCCTTGTTTGCGTAGCACTTCAGAAATAGTTTCGTAGCCCTTTGGAAATAGTTGCGTAGCCTTGCAATTTATTCTAGTTACTCCATATGCGGAACTGCTTAAAATGGCCAATTTTTTGCCAGTACTTTTGCAGGGCTGCCCTGGCTCTTGGAGGCACAGACTGTCGGGTGCACCTCTGGCTGCGGCAGCCTGGGGGTCACTTTGAAAAGTGCTGCCGACTCAGCGGCCACCAGGACTGGGTGAGGTCCCTGGCGTTCCTGCACGCAGGTCAAGGCCAATCAGGAGGGGAGAGGCTGCTGCTGGCAAGTGCGTCACAAGACAGGTGCGACAGAGCACTGGACAAGTGCTACACGGATACTTGATGCGCTTAAAAGTTGAATGAATGTAAGGTTCAGATTTTGTACTGAGTTTTTGGAACTGAACGCAACTAAGAAATGTTGCTGCGAGAGGTGAAATTGATGCTGCCAGTAAAAGTGGTACAGCTGCCGTTCATTGTCGGTTGCAGAGGTGAACAAAGTCGTGGTTGAACTTGCCGCAGCTTGTGCTGGTGTAGTGCTGAGCGAATTTGCTGCTTCTTTTGGCCACAAAGTACTGGGAGAAATGGCGATCGCTAGAACAGTTTCAACGCCAGGGAAACCAGCAGACAATTGTTTGGTTTGGACACCACACTGGCATCGCATCTCCCTGTATGCAGGTCTGCACTTGTGGTGCAAAGCCTTCTTTTGGCTCCAAACTGTACCATGACCCTTTTGTGACCCTGTTCTGACCCTGCTGTTAATGGAAGCAGCAGGTTCTTGTGCATTTGTCATGTTGTTGACCAGCATGCAGCTGCTTCTGGACTCCATTTCGTTGCTCTTGCACCACCACAATGGGGCCCTACCATTGTCCTGCACGTTCTATGCCCTCTGCACGAATGTGTTGTGCAAGGTTTTGGGTTGAAACGGGTTCTGTGGGACCTGAGTTTTTGTTGGTGGGCTGCATGTTATGGTCCGACTGATGGACAATAGTTGCATGGCAGAGCTGTTTGGACAGCGACTTGTCAACCACTGATTTCCTCAGGGTCTGGGGTGCACATGTGAACAACATTGGACTCAAGATGCTTCATCAGTGTGTGTTACATTCTGCAACGTTGATCAATTGGTGGAAGCAGCATGGGGCGATGCACTGCATCATTGACTCATCAGTGCGAGAGTTGGATAACACTGTCTTGTGTTTGGATGTGGTGTATAGAAGTTGGTTGGCAGAAAAAATTGACATTTGCAAAAGAAATGTTCAACTGGGGTACTGGGCCAATGGCAGTTTGCTTTGGCTTACTCATTGCCAGGTACATCCGTATTTGGTGCATTCGTCGCAATGTTGAGAAAGGAAGCAGCACCAGCAAAACAGGTAGGCATTTATCTGGAGCCAAGGACCGCTGCATGCTGAGAAAATTGCAAGTTTGCCTGTCAACATCTGAGTTTGTGGCCTGAATCCCAAACCCACACCAGTGCACCACAAAATCCACATGCAGCTTCCAATCGCTGTTTTTTCAGTGTTGGTGCAAAACTGCGCCTGTTTGTGGCAATGAAGGCATTAATTGAGCCATGGTTCAGTGGCACAAGGTCCACGCATCTACTGTTAGGACTGGGGTGACACATTGACTCCAATATGTGATGTGATATTCGGAATTGATCAGGAAAACGAAATTGTTCTTTTTGTCTCAAAACTGTCCAACAACAGAGTTTCACACAGATGGTGCCGGATCCAAAAGTCCTCATTAAGCGTCTTCATTTCTGAATGAACACCAAGAGCTGTTCTGACCTCTCATCCTGTCCCACCACCAGATCCCCCGTCCTCCACCCTGTCTCGACTGGGTCCCTCCTCCCACTTCACTACACAGCACAGCACCTACTCTGTGGCCCTGGAGTCGCTGCTGATCGGCCACGAGGACTGGGTGCACTCGGTGCAGTGGAGCCCACCCATCGAACCTGGACCCGGGGTCCCATCCATCGAACCCAGACCTGGGGCCCCATCCATTGATGAGTCAGGAGCCAGGGGCCTATCCATCGAACCCGGATCCGCAGGTCCAATCATGGGGACTGTGCAATCCGGGGAGTGTGCGCAGCCGCTGCTGCTGCTTTCAGCGTCGATGGACCGCACGATGATGGTTTGGGAGTACGACGGCTCGTGTGGGCTGTGGATGAACAAGGAGAGCGTGGGGGACGCGGGGTCCACAGCACTGGGTTACTACGGCGGGGTATTCGGCCCGGACGGGCTGTCGATAATGGCCCACGGCTTCACTGGTAAGGCTGGCCAGCAATTGAATAGGAAACAGGTCATAAGAAAAGGGCACACCCTCCTGAACAAGTGTGTGTGTGAGACTGCTTGCCGTGCTGTGAAAAGATGCTGTAGGGTTGCCTGGTGTGAGAAGAGCACACAGCACAGGCATGGCTTCAATGGTGGGGGGCCCACAGTGAATTTCTGCTCTGCTGGCTTGCAAGCGCACGAATTCACGGGCGCTGTAGGAACAGGACCACCGTTTGGGGCACACTGGGCACGTGACACAGTGTGCAGTGCATTGGCCTGGTAGGTGCTTTGCCTGAAAATGCATGCAATGTTTTAGCTTGTATGATCGTCATTGGCGTTGCTTTTCAAAAGCAAGCAGTACCAAGTTGGTGGCAAACAAGCTGAGGGCATGCAGTTCTCCTGTTTGGACGGCGGTGGCACCTGGTCACTGAAATGTTATTCAATATTTCGGAATTGAAAACAAGCAAAACTTAGGGCATGGAATGGCAGAAGCACACCCATCGATTGGAAAATCCCACTGAATGTTTCCTCCTCTTTGAAAAGAAACTCAGTGGGTTAGTCCTACTCGTGAGCACCTTGCTGCTGCTCCATGCCAAGGAATGGCAAGGGGTCGCCCAGAATCGCCCCTTTGCTGCATGCAAGGCGCTGTCGTGCTGTCATGAATCGGCAGGGGTTTGCTGCACAGGTGCACTTCACTTGTGGCGACGAGAGGACGGACGGCAGGATGGTGGATGGGTTCCCCACCATGCCATGACAGGCCACTATGGTGAAGTGCTTGACTTGAGTTGGGCCCTGGATGGCAGCTGTCTCATCACTGTTGGTGGCGACCAGACTGCGAGAATCACAGCACGTGTGGACGGCCACTGGTGCGAGATTGCAAGGCCCCAGGTGCGTGTCTCCCCAGCTATTGGATTTGACAAACAGCAAAAGCACCATAACAAGAGGCAGTTGAGAATGGTTGAAGAAAATAGACTGGACTCCTTGGAAATGCGCTTGATTGCCCTTTCAGCATCTTTCAAATATAACTGTATATTTGATTTGGGTGCAAAAACATATTACCAAGTCTTGTACCCTGTGTCTTGTGTATCGTCCTCTGTGCTGTTCCCTGCGTCTCCTACATAGTTTTTGTCATATTTTGTCATGATTGTGGGGTCTGTTTATAATAACAGATTTGGTATTGGGAGCATGGAATTTCCACCTTCAGCCGATTTAGGGCATGTCCACATCTGCTGTTTGTCAAACTGCATAGAATATGAGCTACAAAGTGCTAGATATCCGTTGCATGCTGCTGAATAGGCAATTAGGTCCACAACCTCGAAGTCCATTCCCCTTGCAGGGGCCAGTACTGCTCAACCCGATCTGCACAAACACAATGGAGGAAGCTGTTCGTCATGTGGGTCTATTCCCCAAAGGCTCAGGCTCATGCACTTCCACTCTTGCAACAGATAAATCGCGACCAGCATGAACAGCTTGTGGAGGGGTGGGCAGCAGATAAATAAGGGAATGATTTTGCAGGTACAAATGGACCCTTTGGATCTTCACATGGTCTCATCGCTTGCAAGGTGCAAGGTCTCTGTTTGACTTACGAATGCAAATGTGTCACATGGAGTCTGGCCAACAGCACAGGGAGCAAGTCAAGTGAAGAATGATGAAAACGAAGCACCTTGTCCTTAACAGTGTGTTGACTCGTCCATTGCAGGTGCATGGCCACGACTTCTTTGGCCTCGCCGTCATCCCGCCCACCACCACGACGCCCGGCCGCAATCTCTATGCCAGCTGCTCCGAAGAAAAGGTTATTCGCGTTTTCGAGGCCCCTCAGGCCTTCCACGACACTCTGTCCCTCGCCCAAGGCTGCCAACACAGCCACGCCAACGGCCAAGCTGCCCAAAGCGCCACTGGCCAGATCTCCCAAGGCCCTGGCTGTACATCGCGCCCCCTGGGGGCGGTTGTCAAGGCGCTGGGTCTGACAAACAAGGCGGTGTATGCTGATGAGGGCACGGCAAGTGCCAATGATGGGCCCGATGATCGGCTGGTGGGCATTGGGGGGGACCAGTATGCGGCGGGGCCAGAGTTTGCACCCGCGGCTGCGCCGACGGCGTGTGAGGGACCCCCCTTTGAGGAGCACCTGAGTCAGAACACCCTGTGGCCGGAGGTGCACAAGCTGTATGGCCATGGGGACAATGTGACTTGCCTTGCAGCTGACCCAACGGGTCGGTGGCTGGTGTCTGCATGCAAGGTCTGCAGGATGCCTTGGATTCTGTTGTGTGAGCAGTTTCTCCAGACTGTGGATGTTGACATGTTGAGGCCTTGTTGAGCACTGGTGCTTTCCCGCTGTAATTGTCTCAGCACTCTTTTGTTTATATTACTTTTCTCTTGCAATCTGTTTTTCTTTAGATCTTTTTCTGTTCTTTGGTTTGACTGGACAGCTTGGCCCAGCTCTTTCTGGTGTTTGGTCTGGGCCGTGATGGCTCTCCATGGGGAGATGTTGGGAATTCACATGGACAGGTTGTGATCTGTGCTGTTCATCGAAAGCGGTCCATTTGGACTGTGCCTGTACTCCACACATCTCTGGAACATTTTCCAAACAGGCCGCTGCCCTGCAACAGCAAGTGTCACAGAAGGAGCACGTGCATTGTCTGCACTCCTGACCATGCTGTTCTCATGATGCCCTTAGGCCCAGTCGCCTGAAGTGGCTGCGATATGGGTGTGGGACATCCAGGAGTGGCGGCCTGCTGGCACCCTGCAGGCCCACACCCTCACTGTCACCCAGCTGCAGTTCTCCAACTCAGGTCGCTACCTGCTGTCTGGGTCGCGCGATCGGACATTTGGGGTCTTTGCGCTGGCTGCCAGGGGCCGCCTTCAAGATGGCGGTGGCAGCCAGGGGGACGGCTCAACGCCCTTGACACTGCTGAAGCGAATGCCCAAGGCGCACAGCCGGATCATATGGGGGGTGGATTGGAGCCCAGACGACAGGTTCATTGCGACAGGTTAGTGGCAATTCACTGGACGGTTGTGCACATTGGTGCACAACCATACATACCACTGCCATACATGCATGCCACTGCCAAAGTGGTGCATCAATGCCTGTGGCGGGAATATTGTCGTGTGTTTTGTCTCGCCTGCCGTTTTGATTTGTTGGATTCCACTTGTTGTTTCTCTGACCCATGACGTCTGCCGCACATAATGTGGTGTCATTGCTTTGTGGGCTGCCACTGTGGCAGGAGTGTCAGTGTGTGATAAATCGCTGTGTGTTTAAATCTGTGGACTGGAAAGAACATCAGTTTTTAACCATAGACCACAAAACACGAAAGGAATGAAATGCCAGAGCTGGGCCCGTACTTATTGCCCACGTGGTCTTCTCCTGTATCTACACCACGTGCAGCATGGTTGACTAACTGGCTGTTGTGACACACTTCAATGAAAGATCACTTGCACGTTTTCAGTGCAGTGGGACAGTCTTGAGTTCGTTTCACCTTTCTGGACCTGATATGGGCTCTTCAAACCTACATTGACTATTGGCAGCTGTCGTCAGGCTCAAGGGATCAACGTGTGAAGATCTGGGAGATGACTGAGATGGGCCCCCTGGACCGCCCAATCCACAGCCTGCCGCCCATGGACTGCAGTGTGACGAGTGTGGCGTTCGCGCCACAGAGCCGTGTGCACTCTGATTCAGTCGGCAATGGGAGCACCCATGGGAGGCAGTCCAACATCTTGGCTGTCGGGCTACAAGATGGCTCAATCCAGGTGCATCTTACCCCAAATTGGACAGATGACAGGATGAAAATATGAAATGAAAAGTCTGTTTTGCCTCATAAGGCTCTGCTTGCTTTGCACTCTCAGAAGACTAATAGAAGATGGGCAACTGATTGAAAGCTGTAGTGGATGCACAGTCCCCAGCTTGAGAGCGATGGCTGGTGCTGTGATTCAAGAGTTTGCAATTGGTTGTGCAATGATGGCATCACCTTGCTGGCCATTGTCAGTTTTGCTTCATGGCCATCCCACTGCCGTTGCCAATATCCACAAACACACTGAAGTTGTGGTTGAAACAGTTGAATGCATAATGTAACAAATCCTAACTGTACCAGCCCATCGTCAAACTATCTGGGACATTTTAGGGCAACGAACTGTGTCAAACTGCGTGGAATGTGACCGCAGTGACACCAATGCCCATTCCAATAACCTGTGCTCTGTGCTGGCAACGCAAGGCGCCGCGCTGCGGGGCAGCGGCCTGAGCTCAACAAAGTGCCGCAGTGCCAGCAAGCTTTGCTTGAATATGCCTGGTTGCGCTTGTCCTGGTCCGCATCCATTGTACCACCCATCTTACCATCCATTGCGCGTCCGCAGTGACGTCGCCATGCACGTTGTGTCCAGAGCATCCAACTCATATCACACTCACATCATGCATGTCTGCATCGTAGCCGTATCGTACATCCAAACCGTACTCATTGTCCGTGTCTGTGCGCAGGTGTGGGAGCTGACAATGGAGGCGACTTCCATGCGGTCGAGGCAGTTATGGCGTTCCTGCAGGTCAAATCAGCACAGCGACTCGGTCAAGCGACTGAGATGGACCGCGGCGGCCAACCAAGGCGGCCTGTATTTGGCATCATGCAGTGCGGATCATTCGTTGCGAGTATTCGAGATCACACCATGATTCAGCTGATGATCACCTGGCGTCGTAGGAAAACGGCCCAGACACAAGACAAACGCACTTTGATTTTGACTGTCCAAGACGGCTCAGCTTGCGCTCTAAGCTAGTATTATCTGACTAGATCCTCTCTTGACCCTGGACCACGACAGACGCACGAATTAATGATCAAAAGACTTCAAATCAAATGCCGACGCCCTGGTAGTCATTATAAAGAACACAAAGTCCTCAACGACAGTCGAACGCCAGTCCATGTGCCAATGCGAGTTGCTGCAGCCAGCCTCTGTACTGTGCGCCCGGGCTGGAAGCCTGGCCATGGCAGGCCCACAGCTAGCGCCTGCAGCGTGTCACTGCCGAGGCCCTCCGCCCGCCCCCCTGCCAGGAACGCCCAACTCAGAATTTTGAGTGGGGACTCCAACGGGAACCGACCACAGCAGGGGCCCCTACATGGCGCCCCCCCAATAGCACCCTCTTTTTGGCTTGTCAACCATTTCTGCAGTGGGAGGTGGAGGGGATTTATAGCGAACCCTGTTTAGCCACATGTCTAGGTTTAGCGACCCCCTGAACGGCTTGTCACCATTTCCATAGTACTTTATTTCACTGCGACAGGTCCCAGCGCCCGCAACTTCGGCGCTGCAACTAAGTCGCTGGCACCAAAAGCCAGTGTGGCCCAGTAGGCCAGGGTGTAGCATAGCCCCTACACTGGCAGCGAGGGAGACCCCACATTGGCGACCGGGGTGCCACCTACACCAGCAGCCAGGGTACCCCTTACACCTGCGGCCTGATACCCACTACACCTGCAGCCTAGGGTACTCCCTACACTGGCCGCCAGGGTAGCCTTTACACCGGCTGTTAGGGTACTCCACTTAACACAATAATAGCGCCCCCCTTTTGGCCATATCAGGGGTGAAGATTTCTTTTCCGACAGTGGACTGCTCTTTTTGCGACAGTTCCAAACTACTCTTTTTTGTGACAGTGATTTTTTTTGCGACAGTGAATATGACTAATGTACAGTTTAGGAACGTGGTGGGGCCTTTGAACCGACTCGCTTACCCGCCACCTGCCACCGACTGCAACCAGCCACCAGCGTTGTTGTTCGCAACCCAAGGGATCGCTGCTCCGCTTCTCGAACTTCATGGGTCACCGTTGTGCTTGTCTGGGGCCTGGGTGACGCACGGGGCCGGGCGGCGCCAGTTGGCCACTAAGTTGCTCCAAGTGCCAAAATGCCCCTAGTGGCAGCCTGCCACATGTCGTGGCTCACAGGGCGTGCCCCCACCCGACAGCAAAAACTGGTCGCGTGACCAGTCAACGGCGCTGGGCGTGGGCGCCTTGTTGGTCGATGCTTGGATGGCAATGGCGCCGGCAACCACTGCATTGGCCTCCACACCCAGCGTCACGAGCACAGCCCCCAGTCCGGTTGGCGCCGCTGTCACCCCGTGTGACCATTGGTGTGCATTTTAGCCGGCTAGCACAGCAAAAACAGAGCTTGGGAGGAAACAGGAAGCTCCAACCTCGGCCATTTCGGTTGAATCTCAGTGCCAAAGTGAGCGCCGAATGGCAGCGGCGCCTCCCCTTCCGCAAGGTGGGGACCTTGGACGTCTCCAACCACTCGCGTCTCGCCTTGCGGCCCCTTCTCCAAACAGACGCACCTTTGGCGCCGTTGTGGGAGAAGGCCCTGTGGATCACGCCGGGTTGATGTGGCAATCTGATGCCAACATCTCACACATCAATTATTGCCGCTGTCGCAAACACGCAGGATACCAATGACAACCCCAAACAAGGCTTGAAAAGATGTGATGGCACGCCTGGAACTGTGTTTTGTCGCCCCTGGCCAGAGGGCGCAGTTGCGCTCGACATGTGGGGGCCCATACTGAGTGCCGGTCGGGCCTGTTGCAACCGTTGTGCGTGTGTTGCTCGGTTGCAGCGAAACTTGATGGCGCGCTCTGCACTCAGGTTTGGAAACAGAATTCTGGGAGTCCGGCGTTGGAGCGCTTCCGATGCACGTCCAATGGCATCCGATACTTGTCTCTGCTGATGCCTCTCCGACGCACTCCGATGCCAGATTCCCATACTCGGCCCCAACTCCGACCCGCCCACCCCTCCCCTCCGACAAAAGAAAAACATCCAGCCGCTCCCAGTTCTGTGCACCATTGCCATTGTTTGTTGGGCGCCTCGCTGTGGCAAGGCCTCGGAAACCCTTACAGCTGCAGGCGCGCCTCTCTTTGATCGTTGGAAGCTGTCACCATGCCTTGGCGCCAGCAAGCACGGGACCTCGGGACGCAACATCACAGGGATATTGGCGGTTGGCGCCATTTGGCATATGTGTTGGACAGAGGCGGGCAGCTGCCTCACTATGCAGTCAACAACGTGCCCAGAACCGAAAAGCATCGCCTGCAGGGTGGTTCCCCACCGTGAGTTTGAGTTGTGCTCCATCGTGCTCGATTAGGAGAGCACGCCTGGCAACGAACGCAAAACTCTACGCCCTTAGATCCAATAGCCCATAATATTGCAAAGGCCGGCGACCTTGTTATAAAGCCGGCGTGCGAATCGATTGGGGCGTTGTCGCAGTCATTCAACAGGCTGGTCTGATTGGCGGAGGGGCATGGTCCCCGAAGGTCTGTCTTGAACAAAAAAGCGACTCGGCTAGTTTGTATTCGTTTTAAGGGTTTGGGATTCGCAGCGGCCCAGGTCCTTGTGGCACAGGGAGCGGTGGCCTGTGCATGCTACGGGATGGGGCAGAAGGGGAAGGGGCTGGCCCCCTCGGTAACGAGGATATCCTCGTTACCCCGGCATCGATGCCCGATGCTCGAATTTGTTCGATGCTGATGGCGGAGGGCCCTGAATGACAGTTGTCATTCAGCACCGCACGGGCATCGCAATCAATGGGGGCAATGTGCACCTATCCTTAAGGCCAAGGGGTCCAACGTTGCTCCGAGCGCACGCTCCTTGGTTGCGTGAACAACTTATAAGTCACACCCAATTAGGTGTGTTGCCTTCCAAACCCCTGGGCCCTCGACGCCCAGATCTGGATTCGTCATCATGCCCCGTTTGCAAATTGAGGGCCAAATTCATACTTGGCAGCACCGCCTTTCCTGAACCCGCCTTCTTCAAACTGCAGCGACGCCGGTGCTGTGCAGGGGGCGGCTGCATGTGGTGCGTGCTGTGCAGACGGGGGGCTGCATTGGCTGGGCCGTGGCTGCGCCTAGTGGTGGATCGTCGCTTTGGACAGCACAGGAGGCCCAGCCAATCCATGGCCTTGAGGTGAGCTTCGTGGCGAGGTGATCAACTGACCGTGTGCGCTGCGCTGCAGGGGCATTGTCTGAGTGTTCGCTCTTGCCATGTTGCATGGCAGCTCAGGTGGGTCTGCACGTGTGTGTGGGCGCGCGTCTGGTGTAGGCAACAGGCTGTCTATTTTTTGTTGCGGTTGCATGTCTAGGCGATCGCCGCCAAGGTCGAAATGGGCGAGACGTGAGGAGGGGCGGTCGCCACTTAACACACCACGACACTCCTGTGGCCTGCCACACTGCAACAAAGAGAATGCGTGCCAACCCTCTGGCAGCAAAACCGAAGCAGAAAACCGCTCAGCAGTGGCACCCACTCCTACAGCCCCTGACACACCGCGTCAACTGCCATAGCCACACACTCCAAAATGCAAAGGCACCACGCGACGATGATCTCCAGTGCTAGCAGCCCAGCCAATACTCACGGTAGCGGTCTCCGACGCCGGGGACCGCCACTGACGCACCAACATCCCTCCCAAACTCGGGACTCGACTCGATGGGGGATTGATGCCACCCCCGGACGTCGGACTCCGATCGCGAAGTTTGTCTCCTTCTCTGACGTCGGATTCCTACGTCGGAGATGACTGCTCCGATAATTCTGTGACCGCTGTTACGGCTAGAACTGATTGAGTATTATTATTAACCGAGTGCACGAAAAGATGGAGGCATTAGGAATTGCATTAAGGATGTTGATAAACGGACGGAGTATAAAGGACAGAACGCTTGTTGTCCTTTTGCCTCGGCTGTATACCGTTGCCGTGGACTCGAGCGTACAATCCCCATTCAGGGATCGCCCCCCCTCGACCCTGCCTGCCTTCGTCACCGCTTTTAAAAATGAACATGTCACAAAAAGGAGCAATTTCACTGTCGCAGAAAAAAGTAGTAACCCATGTCACGGGGGTGCGCTGTACATGGACCACTACTGTAATCCATGCCATTTCCTCGTTGACAGTGTCCTCCATCAGCTGAATCATCGCCGGAAGGAGATGGGGTTGGCAGCCACCCCACCAACCACCAACCACCTTCACCCGTGAAGGCCAACGAATGCAAAAGTTGACGTCCGAGGGGGTTGCGCCAATTTTGACGCCGCCCTGGATATCCGCCTGTGCCGTCTGGCCAGAGGTCCCCCCGCCTGCTGCCCCTGGCCTCCATTGCGATCCGGAACCAGCCGATCCCACCCACGCGGACACCGCGCCAGTGACGCCAGTCGGCCGCTCCGGGACGCGGACCAGTTTTTCCAGCCCATCCCTTCGTCTTCGCGTGCGGCCGAAAATTCTACCACCTTGCCTGCGGCGGTTCAGCCCGATGTCCTGTGTGAATCGCCCAGGCAGGATGTGGCCATCGTCCAAGCCGATGGTGGTCATCTGCCTGCTGGTCGGCGTCGCCCTCAAGGTGGCCGAATCTGTGGAGGCCGACGACGCAGGCGCCAATGGTGAGACCTTGGGGCTCCCTGGCCTCCCCCGCGCCGTCGGACGCCTGCGGTCGACTCCCTTCTCGCAGCCCCGCCAGGGGCGAGGCTGCCGTTTTCTTTTCGCTGATGTTCGCGCCGCGCTCGCGGCCATAGGTAAGGTCATCGCTGCCGGGAAGGCGGGACCACCTCACGGGCACAGGGCCCTGATGACGCGTCAGGGTCGATCGAAAAATCCCATCAGCTGCTCGGCCTGACCACTGTCTGGCCGTCACTGACGCCGTTGCTGGCTCTGCGCGGCGCGTCTGACCGTCGGCCATCGATGCTGCCTCCCGTGCGGCGCGTGGCACCGTCTTGAAGTGGGCTAGGTTTTCTTGTCGCGGGGCCAGGGGCAATTTTGCAGCCAGCGAATGGGCGCCGATTGGCACGCCCGGCGCGACCATGGCCCAATTTTTGTTTTCAATTGAGCCAGCTTGAGGTGGGCGTGGGGGAGGGGCGTGTTGGGTCGCGGCTGGATTTGGCGTCGGTTGGAAGGTGATGACATTGTGGTGGGAAGGTTGAGAATCGTCCAGCCAGGGCGACCCGCACGTCGATGGTTGAGCTGCTGCAACCCAGACACGTCGATTAGTTGAGTCTTTGGAGCTGTGGAACCGTTTTGGAGCCTTCTGACTGTGTATCTGTTCCGTGGACCCTTGCCGGCTGGAAGGTTGATATCAGATTTCTGTCGTGGTTCTTCCCGCTGGCTTGTGGAGACGTTGTGGCCGGTTTCGGTCTGGCTACTGCTGTTCTAATGTGTTGTGTGCCGCGCAGCACCAGGGCTGGATCCTCTTGCCCTTCAATTCCAGGTGGGTGGACTCCTGTTGCAGAAACCGGCCCTTTTGACCTCCAAAATGGCCACATTTCAGCAGTTCATCCATATCGCACGTTGCATTGCAAGCTTGGGCATTGGGCATTGGCTTGTTCTCGCTTTGGGTCGGAAGCAACCGGCGTTTGTTGATGGATATGTGTGAATTTGTTGATGGACTTGTGGACTGCACAGAACATGGGTTCTTGTACAGCAGCGCACAAATGAGCAATACTGTCAACTGCGAAGCATTCAGTGCCTTGCAGACAGGCAGGAGGAACAGTTATGGTGGTGGTGCAGTGCCATTGTATAGGCTGGAGTTGTTGGCAATCAGTTCAAGATGTTCGAGCAAATGCCTAACTACTGTGGGGCATTCTCTGCAGCTTTTGCATTACTGTTGCAGAAGATTTAGAATTTCCTTTTGTTGAATGTAATTGTGGTTAAATGTCTGCATTTCAACAAACTGGTGTAGCACACTATCAGGGTGTGCACTCTGTGCACTTCAAAAGTTGATCTTGGGGTTGATTTTAACCATGGGGAAATCACACTGGGGTGCAGTCTTTCCCATTTGGTTATGGAAGCCCATGTCTTCCATGGTATAATGCAGCAAAGTGGTGCCAAATCTAGGTTGCAGAAAAAAGGAAAGGTCAAATGGACATTTTTGTCAAGAATATAACCATCCTGCATTACTGATAACCCAGTCTTTTTGTGATTCCAAAACATCATTTCAGGACGTCACATGTCAGTGTCCACATAAGATGCCATTCCATGCAAAATGTGATTCTGCTTTTTTTGGAGAACCAGTCCATCTCGATTCATCTAAAATGCAGTTTGTCATGGCTGCTTGTCAGGTTGTGAGGAACGTCACAGACCATGCCCCCTTCATAGTGAATGTTATGGACACGCTCGAGATACATGTGTGCACGGGGGTACTTATCAACCCATGGGCCGTGCTGATTCCTGCATCTTGCAACCGACCGGGCTTCCCTTTGGTGAGGGTCAAATCATCAAACTTGAATGGAGTTGGCCCATCAGAGCAACAGGAGGTGAGGAAAGGATCCAATGGAAGTATTTTGTTTGTGTTTTTGCTGTGCATGACACTGTATTGGCTGTTGTCCTTTGTTTAGTTGCCTTTGGCAAGATAATTCTGTGACCTTTGGGTCTTGTTGAAGTGATGGGTGTGACCCTGTGGATGCATTCCTGTGCTCATTCTGAAGCTAGCTTATCACAGGGAGGATGCACAGTGTCCAAACTTGTGAAGCATAGGAATGATCACCATTGACTCTCTCTTGCTACTGCTTTCCTTCAGCCCCTCAGGTGTGTTTCAAAGCATGCAGAAAATCTCCTGGGCTTGGGGCGGAAGGTGGCGATCTTCATTAATGAGCATTCATCCTTTTTCCCTGTCAACTCCCCCTATTACAGGTCTCATCCACTTGCTGATGGGCTACGCTGGTGTCTCAGCCCAGTACTGGGCAACTACACTTTGGCCCATCATCTCCTTTATTATCTTTCATTCACTGAAATAAGTGAGGGGGTCGCGCATGGCCACGTTTTGGCAAATTTGCTTGATGAGAATGGAGGCATTGACATTCACAGAAAATGACTCAGTTGGTGTTCCTCTTTGCAGAAGTTGAAGGTCTGCCAAAAGATCGTCCATGCTGACTTCGAGGGCCGCACTGAGGGCAGCAACAACATCGCCCTGCTCATTCTTGGCAGAAATGCATCGACCCCTGTAGATATGATGCCAGGACTGAAGGCTTTAGAGGACTGTGCCGAAAAACCCCAAATGTATGGATGGTTTGCCCCGACACTCAACAGTGGCCCCTCAGAAGATCTGAAGGTCGTCGATATGAAGCCCGTGAAGAGGACGGAGTGTGAGGACAAGTTTCCAGGATTGTCAAGCGGATCTGTTTGCTTGGAGACTGACTTGGCCCAGGGAATGACATGTGAGTGGTGGTTGCATTGCTGTCGACGTTTTTGACTGCGGCACATTTGATATGACACATGCATGCAAAATAACAGTCTGGTAGATTAAGACTGAACTACAGCAATGACAAGACAAACATGTTTGTTGGTGGGATAGGGATGGCACTTGCACTCTTGATATGTAACGTGTGGCGAAAAGGCAACGAGTTGTGCCTATATATGTTGTACAATCTGTAGTTTCGCTCCTACATTGAAGGCATACAGGCCGTTCCATTATCAGCTGGTTTTGGGTCTTGTCTTTCGACTATTTGCTGTCGTCACCAAGCGTGTTGCAAAAACTAGAAGGAAGCCCATGCCAGGCGACTGACAGCCTTGCCATTGCTCAAAGTGTTTCCATAATTCGCTTGCATGTACTTAGTGTTTGATCACGTTGTGATCTGGCTGCAGGGAGCCCTGGGGCGGTGCTCACCTGCAAGTCAACAGATGTCATCGGCATGATGACCCACACACTGCCTGGCAGTCGCCCAGATCTTGGGCCGTCGCCTAACACAAGGCTGCCTTACGTGTTCACTTCTGCTTGGGAGCACCGCGAATGGATCAAGGCCCTGGGTGGCAAAAGGTCCGAGGTGCTGTACAACGAGCTTGATGATGAGTGCCAAAATATCGAGACTGGGGTGTGCAAGGTCAATGCTGACGGCACAGAGTCATGCAAGGCAACTGCCGATGTGCCCAGTGATTGAATGGCCGACGCTGCTGTGCCCTGGGGTGGGGGGACAGCTGAAGAACGCTCAGCACGACCAAGCGACGCCAGCCTCAACGAATCGATCGTTGAAGAAGCAACAACAGTCGTTTGGTCGTCTACCTGTATGCTTCTCAGCTGACTTGAAATGGTGACGTTTGACTGGACTCAACCTAGAACCACTGTCCATGTGGCCAACAGTGTCAGTAGCAGTGGTGCATTGCACCACCAAGGTGCGTGGCGCAGGTTCCTGGAGTAAGGTCAAGCTATCGGCGCTCCTAGAAATCAAGCGGTTCCTCGAACTGCTGCATCGAAGTGCTGCACACGCACGCACACACGTTGGCAACGCCAAACAAAGGGAGGGAAGTTCGTTGCAAGGAATGGGGTACATGGGCTGGGCCACATAAGGCCAACGTCAATAGGAGGAGGGGGGTGGGGGGTGGGGAAGGGGGCAGAGCCGTAGTGACTGGTGACGAGGACGACATTGTATACGTGGGCGGAAAGGAGCAGCTCTGTGCTGCGAATTTGGGGATATCTGTACGATATGGCCTGTAGCCACGATGAAGGATGAATTTGTGGCTGCCGACGAGGATGATCCACGCCAGTCGTCGCGCTGGCTCGCGTTAGTGCAGGAATCATGTTTTCTGGGCGAATATTGCCTGCATGTTTCTGGGTGGTCGCAACCATTGTGCAAATGAAGTGGGCCGTCTGAACGATAACTCTCTCGTTGCGTAGAAAGTGAAGAAACAATGTGACCGTTGGGTACTTAGTGGTGACGAAGGCAGGCAGGGTCGAGGGGTGGCGATCCCTGAACGGGATTTGTACGCTCGAGTCCACGGCAACGGTTTACAGCCGAGGCAAAAGGACAACAGACGTTCTGTCCTTTGTACTCGGTCCGTTCATCAACATCCTTAATGCAATTCCTAGTGCTTCATCATCTTTTCATGCATTCAATCATTAATAACACTCAATCAGTTCTAGCCGCAACAGTGGCAATTATGACCTGGGCACCTGTGGTAGAAGTGCTCTGGCTGAACGACAATTTTTTACCTTATGTTTCCCTCACAGCAGCCATGTATCTGTCCACAATTGTGTAAACCTGTACTGATTGCATTCTCGTTGTGTGCTTCCCGCTCTTACATGCTCCTGAGACTTCCTCAGTCTGATGTGCATGGCATAAAATCTGAAACATCTCGAAGGGTAGCGTGTTGGGTGAGCTACTGTTGTACCCTTGTGCAAGACACATGGCATGCATCGAGCGGACGCCTGCCCCTCGCAATGCCGAAGCTTGTTTCCGGCACCAGGATTCAGTGATCACGGACAAAGGTCATGCAAGGAGGCCTGGACAACAAGCTGAGTGCTGTGCAGCTGGCCTGAGATTGCGGCATTGACTTGCGGTTGACCTTGTGGTAGTACAACAACGTGTGGGACCATCATCTCACAGCAATACCGACGGCCTTCGATACATCATGCATGTTGAAAAACTGACCATGCTTGGATGTATATTGTACCTCACTGCACTGAATACATGGTGCACCACTGTGCCAATTTTGCTGCCCAGATGTGTTCTGTATTAATTGCGCTGCATGGGGTGCCATGAGTGTAAAGCCCCAATTCCGGCTGACTCCGACCCCCAGGGTGGGTCGGAATTTCCGAATTGGGCCTGCCTGCACGTTGGCGGTACTCTGTCCGATCCTGACACCATTTTTCTTGCGCTTTGCTTGCGACTCTGGCCATACGGACATAAATGAACTGCAGCCATCGAAGCCAGCGGGTCTCAGGGGTACGTACGTCTGACCAACTATGTCTGTCCAGGTTGTTGGAGGAATCTGAGTTGGTTCAAAGCTGAGTTGCAGTGGGTGCGGACTATTGTGTGGCTTCTTCTGGACTGCTCCAGGAGTTCCTCTGCAACAGTGTACGTTCATTCCTTCTGGTGCTTCATACCTCATGTTGGGTTCAACTCAATGAGCTGTTTGCCATCGGATTTGCATTTTGCTTATACCCAAATGCGAACCCCATTCCATGCAACATGCACCACGGCTCAACAAGCCAAAAACTGGATCGAACTGATTTGCGATTGAAATCAAACTGAGTGCTCTGTCGAATCCAGTAAGAAGGTATGCTGCCTGCCACTGCAAATATCAAGCCACCGGCGAAAATCCCACTGCAGCCGCCAATAGAATGGGGCGTTCTTTGGATGCGCTGGGGACACCCAAATGGCGTTCCGGATCCGCACTGAGAGCGCGGGACACTGGCCGCACTGTCCCCATTGGTGACGGCATCCTGCACAGCGTTGCTGTCGTCGCACAAAACCGTCTTCGGGGCGGCGGCGCCGACACAAAATCACTAGGAAAAAAGGGCGAAATGACATGTGTCCATATGTGTACAAAGTTTACGGGTTTGTGTTATTTTTGTGTTCTCAGCGTGCAAAACTTTGAGGAAATGTGTTTTATGTGTGTTCGCAAAAGTGTTATTTGGCCCTTTTTTCCTAGTGAATCCGTCAACTAAAATCCGTACTTCAAGTCGACTTCGACAAATATCAGGACTCGAAGTGCAAACCCGTGGCAGCATCCGACCGTGGGGACACTGTCCCTGAACTTGGGCATCCTTGGCACAGTTGCGCAGGAGAAAGCAGTTCCCCAGATAACGTCCATGGCGCCGGACTTGACCCATGGATCGTGCAGGCGCATAACCGACCGCCCATGGCATGCCTTCAATGAAAAGTGTCAACTTCTAGAAGCTGGCACTTAGGACAGCTTCAACACGACCGAGACCCCAAGGGATACCACGGTTATCAATTGCAAAGTACGGGGCGTCAGCGCCGACGGCTGTGTGCAAATATGCACTGCAAATGGATCGCAGGGCAGCTGGGCGCAGCGAGCGTTCATCGGGGTCCCCACCAGCGATTCTTTGCAGTGTCTGCTCTCAAAGAAGACCATTTCCCCTTCAACGTTCAGATGACGGTGGTCTTGGATGGGGAGTCAGACAAGACACGCCTCTGTGGGAGCTGCGAAGTTGCTTTTGTCTTGGCGTCTTGAATCTTGTGAGCGCAGTGCCCTGCGGGTACTGATGTCCACCAAGGCGCTGTTCTCGTGAAATGCCCCTCGAGCGTATGCAGCGCCTTCATGAGTCCAAGGCGCACGCCAGCCGCGGGAACGCATTGCCGACCACCGCATTCATAGGATGGATGGCTGAGCCGAGACGCCTTCGTGAAAACGACTTGCCTCTAGGCGTGGCATCATCGGAATGCGCACCGTCCGCCTACCACCATTCAATAAAGAGGCCAGCGAATGGGATAAATCACCGGGCATCAATGTGCATAGCGCCCACTAGGTTTACGGAATCTGTTCCACGTGGCCCACGTTGGCCCACATGGGACGACGGCATCTCACGACCTTCCCACGCGCGGGACGCTCTACGTGGGCATCCCTGGGAGGGCCGTTGAAATGCACTAACGTGTGGCATGCCCCACGTTAGTGGCCTCCCCTGCAGGGGGATTGGAATCGAAGACACGTGGGCATCCACGTGGATGCCCACATGGGCCGCCACAAATTTCTGTAGCCCTAGTGGTCAATCTACAGTGGTTTCCCTCAACCAACTATCCTGTGGCGAGGGAAAGGAGGGATGGGACTCTGATTGCGTGTAATTCACGTCCTATTACGAGGATCTCTGGCTCGGTGGAAGTGCACTGCCCTCTTTCGTCTATTCTAGCGACGCCAACTGCAGTGCCATCCTGACACAAAGTGGCGCAATCACAGTGGTTGTGATGGCATGAGAATAGCTGTAATGCCACCAATTAGTGTCAACGGCATCGCAGTTTCCATTGCAGTAAGTGGGTTTCTTTTGGAGTTTGCCTGGCCTACATGGGGCTAGCCTTGGCACTAAGTTTGGCTGAAACGCGTGCATTCGATTAGGCTGCCATTGTGACAGGTCGTCGTGAAATTGCTGCATTGACGCATTAATGCGTCAATGCAGGAATTTTCACGACGCCCTGTCATAATGGCAGTATTGGCACGCCGCCTTCACACCAATGTGGATCTTGCTTGAGCTGCCCCCACTCAAATTGACCGACTTCGCAGTACTTGCGAAAACTACCCATATCACGCAGCTCCTGCCAGTGCTGTATTTATGATTCATCCATGACATGCCAGGACATGAGACCAAATCGCATTGTGTTAACCGTGCTCTGCTGCACCAATTTCCAGCTGTATCGCAAAAATCCAGACGCTCAGCCAAAGAGAAGCTGGGCAGGTAGGCAACCGGATCTTGGCGCAGTGGCCGTTCGTGTTGCTTCCTTGCCCACTTCGTGGCAGCGCGCGCACGGGCGCCTGTTTTCGCGCCAACCTCCCCCCCATTTTCGCCCGTCACTGCAGGCCGGGCGGTGCCTGGAACCCGTTCTGGTGGCCACGGGGTGCTACGCAGCACGCCATGACAGCATACTGTGCGTCCCGCCGGAACCCGCGACGCCTCCCAATGACTGAACCGACCCACAAAATTCCGCGTTGGGCTCACTCACGGCTTCGAAACCACCAACCACGCAGCCGCGCAGATGCCGGGCGCAGCTGGATTGGCCCGCGGCCAGCTGCCCCTCCCTGTCTGTCCGCGAGGCAGTCCCACTGGCACACGCCCCGCGGCCCGCATCCCAACGACATCCACGTTCGCACACCAAGCCGTCATGACGCCTGCGCGAGCGAACCTCCCTCGAAGCCCACGTCGGCAGCATAAAAGGCAGCTCGGAATCGCCTCGCCAGAAAGCACCATCGGCGCCCTACCCAACCCCACTTCCAACGCTCAGCGCCTTTGCTGCAAGGGGCGTGCGTTGTTCAGCTTCTCCCTCTGCTCCACCCCTGGTGGCAGCATCTTCGCCCTGGTGTGCAAGGTCGCCGCCTGCGCCAATCTTCGCCAGCGCCCTGGCGAATCTTTGCCAGCCGGGCCGCGTTAGCCCCCCAATCGGGGCAGCTCCGTCGATGAGCCCAACAAGGCCGTCCCCCGCCCTCTCCC